TATTCATAATGCACATTCTAGTCGACTTTATGATAATAGAATTGCTAAATTCAATGGTAATACAAGCCAATATTTAAATTTTCGAATAAAACTTCCAAACGATACAACGCGTACAATCACACATTTATCACTTCAGTTGCTAACCCAATTATCGAAAGATAAAATTTCATCAACAACAACAACAATATCACCATGAATAACAACCTTGCAGACAAATAATAATAATAGACCAGCAAGACATGGCGCTTATAAACTATTTACAATTAATGACGTAATTGAAGCTTTTAAAAAGGGTTTAATAGAAATCGAAACCAATGTTGGAGGTATTATTGAAAGTGCATTAGCATTCCACCGCCATTTTTATTTAAAATATGACAATTGTGAAATTAGAGTCAAATGTAGCTATTATAGTAATTACGTATATCGTAAACTTAATATCTATTGCTTTGAATTTAATGATATATCTGCAAATTTTGATTGTGGAGATGATGATGATGGTGGTGGTGGTGGAAATCAAAGAGAAAACTCAAACTTTAATGAAAGAGAAAATCAATATGAAGCTAGTCCAGTCATCGGACGACCTAAAAATGATATATATGTTCGAACTATTGATATCAACGATTATTTACAAACATTTCATATGAGTACACAGTAAGACACATGTCACAGGAAAAAAAATGTGATAATAAAAAAAATATAGAGATTATTAAGGACATTATCCAATATGGTTTCCGATGAAGATACAAAGAAACTCATCAGTATTCAATCACATATGGAATATTTAAACAATCTCACGATAAATCAAAACAATTATGGCGAACATTATGAGGACTGCGTTTAGTCAGACGAGAATGCTATATGTGGACCAGATACATGTAATTGCACATACTACAAGAGAAAGAAAATAGAAGGTGAAAAAGAAGCAAATAAAATTATGGAATTCTATGTAAATGTAAACATTGTACTTTTTTTAAAAAATAATTAATATAAGAAAAAAAATCTCTTTCTCTCATCATCATCATCATCAAACAAAAACAGTGTGTTTAGTTATGTAGAGATCATTACCTTGTACCAATCTGTGAAGATAAAATAATTATTATCGATGTGCAAGGTTTCTATAGTGCAAACAAATTTATTCCAAAACAAGTTTGCATCTCCGACTATGGCTTAAAAGTAAAAATTTCATAATTCAACATCCATTCAAATATTCAAAGTTAATGCTAAAAGATAGGACTACAAACAACTGGTTGTATAATCATTTTCATGGATTACGATGGGATGATGGTAATTCAACGTAAACAGATGTTGAAGAATATCTAAAGATGGCTATAAAAATACACAAAATCCAACTGTATATATCAAAGGACTTGAAAAATTGAAATGGGTGAAAAACCTAATTGGCGAAGAAATTTGCACACTTAATTTAGATGACTTTAACTGTTCGAATATAGATAAACAGATGCAAAAACAAATTTACAATACAAAATTGTAATTACCATCGTTGTAAATATAGACGTGCTCTGAAACATATTATATTACTACGAAATTTTGTTAAGTTCAGTTTAATAAATAAAGAGAATAGTGAGAATGTTTGAAAAGAAAAAAACCTGTTTTTTAAATTAAAAAAAAAAAAAAATAGATAGAGAATATAATAACATTAAGATAGTAGCATACTCATCAGTTGTTTCTATATACTCATCCGTTTATTATCCTCCGCGATAAAAAAACAATGGTTTCATCAAGAGATTTTGAAAACTTACTGAAAGCAACGATTGTTGTATTGAGGAGGATCACAGGACTTTCTCCCTAAAAATGATTGATGAATTAAGGATATGTAACAATTTATCCACTTCGCCATATATATCATAATCAATATACGGTATAAATAGATATGATTCATGGATAAATTGTATAAAAACTAAAATACCTGTGCCTGCAAACTATTTTACGAGCGATATAAATTAGCGCAGAAACTTTTTAATTTGTTTAACCTCATTTTTTTTTAGCCACAAAAATTCAGCGACATATCCTTACAAATTAACTTGTAAAGAAAATAATATTAATACCGAGCCAAAGGAAATTTAATATCATTCCAAAAGTTAAAAACTCAGGAAATATGAAATAATAAAAAAAATAATCAAAAATGATCAACTTTAATAAAAATTCCTATACCGTATCCGTTGGGTACATTGAACATAGATCAACATCGGAAATAAGTCCCGACGAACGGGACTTTCAAGCAGCCCTATTTAACTTAACCGGAGAACCGATAATGAAATCCTGGATATGCTGGTTGAATGCGTGCAGGCGCAGGTCGAAGAGTTTTTAGAGGAGCAGATCAAACTTTAGCATGAGTTTTAGGTTTAAATTTAAATAAAGGGTTATTGACGTAATTAGCGTATGTGTGCAGTTTGAAATTATTTTAGATATACCGAGCAATGCTATATCGCTATTATCCAGATTACTAGAAATAAGTCACAATAAACTTTTTTTATTTAAATTATTAAATTAAAAATACGGTTTTTTTGTTCTCTTGACTTTTTATGTTTCTTCTGTTTTTCAAGCTAAAAAAATAAATATAATTTTACAAAAAAAAGAAAAACTTGTATTTTTATGTTTTTCAGTTTTTTTATATAGTTTAGTAACAATAAATTTTTTTTATATAAATTATTAAATTAAAAAAACAAAAAACGGTCTTTTTATGTTTTTCAGTTTTTTAGGTAAAAAAGTCGATCAAATCTCATGATTTTTGCAACACTGCAAACTTCCCATGCGGTAGGGTACACTAAGTTTAGAACTTGATTTGCAACACAACACCGCAATACATACAATTAGTTTTCTATGCTGTAGGGTATACTAAGTTTAGTACTTGGTTTGCAAGACTCTGTGTAAGCCAAAATACATATGAGTAGAACCCTACCACACACACACACACATACGTACATTGCAAGATCACCACAACAACGCTCTGGATAAAACCAAAATTTGTATTAATAGCCCCCCATACATTAATTAATTAATTAATTTTTTTCTTTTTAGCACACATGATTAATAACATGACAATAATTGTACAAGTTCTAGGTCTTTTTGCGGTTAAAAAATAAATATAGGTCATCCATTAATAGTGTTAAGATAGGTCAGTGAATCAATTAAAAAAACCGCAAAACCACAAAAAATTCGCAAAGCAGAAGACAGAGCACAAATAACTAAAAAAAATGTTTCTAGGGTAGCGCATCCCAAAAGTCACTACCGGCATTATTTTTATCTTCCCAATCTTTCTCGCAAAAATTGCACAGTGACGTTAAAGGTACATATATTACCTACTGCGATTAGGACTCGCATGGATCAAAAACATATATCCTTAACATTCCACATATATTTGACAAATTTAGTACTCTGTCTGCGAAAACATAAAAGGTATAGATGCTTAAGACAACGTATTACATGTGTAAAAATCGAAAATTTTTCGTTAATTTTGGATGTGAGCGAGTTTTCCAGTGGCAATGTCTCTAATGTAATACTTGCAATAAGACTCCGCAGTCGGTAGCACGTACACTAAGCCTCCACTACATCATTTTCTACTTTGTAATAATTATTGCAATCTTCTCTGAGAAGAATATTTCTTCCTCTTATTTTCTTTTTTGTAATTTACCAGAAATAATGGAAAAAAAGTTTATTGCTTTAAAGCAAAAAGCTCTAAAATTGTTTAAATGATTGGCAATTATATTAAAAAACCAGGGAAGTAACAAGAAAGTGCGAAACAATGGTCACAACGTAGAGGAAATTAGAACCTTAAACAATCATTTTTAAAGTTTGGTAAGATTTTCTTAATCGCAATAAATTTCGTACATTGTAGGATGTAAACTGTATGTATGCCAATAATTGCTGAGATTTTAACATTAGGCATAGATATTGCTTCTAAAAAAAGGTCGGTATTGTTTTTGGACTGTTCCATTCCTCGCATGACGTCTGCAAAATTTCATTTCTATTTTAAATATTTATATATTTATATATGTCTTTATTTATCCTTTTTGCTCATATTATAATTATACTTTTTACCGTATTATCGTTACCTTATGGAAATAATGATACATATACTTGCAAATTTATTTTGAAAACTAGTCAGACGTCGCATCGGTGGCGAAAACATTTGCACATATTACATATAAAACATATGTGTGGGCTCATATACCACATTAAGACCGGATTTATTGACGTTTCGAATATACATACGTTTGCGAAAATCTGTCAACTTGATAGGTAAATTTTTTCAATCGTTAGAGTCGAAAAAATGAAGACAGGAATCTGAAATTCATCGGTTTTCGTCTTTTCTTAAATATAATTATTAGATATTTGGTTAAAGAGCTCGGTGCTAACCAAAGCTTTATGTCACGAAATTCGCGCTTTAAATTGACGGGTTTTGGAAAAATTAAGTACACAACATCTAAAAATAACAAAATTAATGTCTTCCAGCAAAAAAGAGTAGACGCCCGTATTTACTGCATTGTACCACTAAAAACTAATATATAAAATCTAAAATCATCCACTCTTTTATACAGAATATGTAAGCCTAAAAACAAAAAACCGTCAAATTAACGGATACCGTAAGTCTGGTGTTGAATATGTGTATATTAGCTATCGCTACAACATAAATTTTCTTAATTACGAAACATTTGTTTTCATAGCTATAGATGCATATATATTTAACAAAAGTGTTTATGTTCCTGCTTCCTAAACATTTGATACAACTGACCGTCATACAAATAAATCTTTAAGGAAATTCTTACCAATAAAAACAGTAACAAAGAAAAAGGAATCAGTGCAATTAATAGCTGCTAACGTAATAGCGCTGAACCTATTATGTTAACAGAGAGATCAAAGTGTACCCAATGCATGCACTTCCTTCTTAAATTATCCCTTTTAAAATTTCTTGAACACTCTTGTCTAATATAACAACAATTCTCTCTGATCTAACATATTTAAAACATATTTAAAGTTACCTTCTTCTATATCATCCAGATACGAATGTTGATTCTTGGAATTGGAGCATGAATGTAGGTGGTTTTCACATTTCGTTTTGCTGCAAGTTTTGTTTTTTTTAATTAGCTGGTCATATAGCAACGGCGTTAAATGATCGTTTGAAAAGCTAACGCTTGATGGCTTATCTTCGCTTTGTTTGCATTCAAACAGCTCAAAGTTACTTGCACTATTTGAAGTACCTGTAAATCTATAAAAAAAAACTTCATATCACATTAAATTTTCGAGAATAGAAATTGCATATGAATTTTAATATATAAATATATATATATAAATGTAATATTCATTAAAGAACTTTTGAGAGTGTTATTTTGATGTATTTCATCTCATTTGTCTATTTGTGGTAAAATAATGTGCGTTAATTTGAAGGGTTCCTTCAGATATGGTTTAACATTTTCTACTTCGTGGTTAACAATGCTATGGCAGCTATCTTTAGGCTTCGTCTTCAAAGAATAGGTTGCGTAGGTTGCTAATAACCTAACGATATGGGTTTAAAAATGGTTTTTTAATTGGGTTAGTCTACAGATTGACAACTCGCGCTTTAACGTGTGGTTAAGAGTAACACAGGTTGTGTGAGCATAACCATAGGTAACGAAATATACATATGTTTCAACATTTGAGATTAGGAGGTTAATTAGCATCTATCTCTAAGTTTGCTCTTTCATTCTCATTATTTGTATGGGCACCGATTTTCTTAATGAGGGCTTGACATGACTTCGCATTTTGTCAAACGTTTGTAAAGCAGAGCATATACAATTCTGAGTTTGAAGTGAATGTGAGTAACGGAATGCAAGTGAGTGTGTTCGTACGAAAAACAAACAAACAACAGGTTTTTGTGCAACCAATATATTTTGTTTTCTTTTTGTCGCTTATTCCAGATTCCAGTTTGAAATGCCCATAATGGGGCATCACGGACCCCGCAAAGTATATATATTCTTGATAAGCATCAAATTCTAAATTGATTTAAGCATGTCCATCTGACCATCTGTCCGTCTGTCTGTTGTAAGCATATTTCTGGTCGCAAGAATGAAGCTATCGACTTCAAATTTGCCAGAATCATTGGAAGTTCTTGCTTGCAGATTGGTATTGAAAATTGGCCAAATCGATCGATGGGTACGCCCACAGCACCATGAAAACTGAGAACACCTCTGTTTGAATAATTGGTTTTTTCTCATTATAAATCCGCCTGAGTGGCCGAGTAGGCAAGAGTCTCGACTAGCAACTCAATAGTCGTGGGTTCAAACCTCAAGTGCGGTAGAGTTTTTTAATAACAGCCGATAGCCCTAGATGCTAGTGCTTTAAGACTTTAGTCTTAGAATTTATTCTCTGGCTAAATTTATAATAATAATAATAATATAACAAATAAATGTACAAAAATTTGAACGCGTATTCTGTGGGTGATGGGGTAGTATTTGCGTACAAAAATGGAATAAAATTGACCTCGTCTACACAATATTATAGTGTATCAATATTTTATAAGTTTTTCAATACCTTTATAACGCGCAGAAGCAACCTTCAAAACACCGAAAAAGTAAACAGATTCTTGTCCAAAGTTTCAAATTTCAAATGCACTTAAACATGTCCGCCTGTTGGTCTGTCCATCTGTCTATTTGCACAACTTTGTAGAATTTATGGCAAACGTTCTCCCGTTAGCCAAAAAGAAGATATCGCCTATAAATTTCTCAAAGAATTTGGATTTGACCTCAAATTTTCAAACGGCACGTAAAAAACCTAAAATTTTCATCGTCCGTGGTAAACCAAATTTCCGTTTTTTCGATAATCTTATTCAAAATTAGTTTTCCAATATCCAGTTTATGTTTATTTTCATAATATCCTCCTGTGTACATTTCCTATTTTTACCTGTATTTTTGTAATAATAATGTAAAATGAATAGCCGCCGTGTAGAACCACTCATCCTGATACCGAAAATTGGATGAAATACGTTGTATATATATGTATAAGCAAATAAAATTCAAAAATGTGGAAATAAAATAAACAAATTAGATTAAGATAAATACAATAAGCTGCAACATAATTTTTTTAATAATAAAAAATTTCTTTATATATCTTGATGTGAAAACTTTCATTGAGATTTGTCAAGGCATATGCGAAATATAGAATCTGGAATTCTTTAATTCCTCAAAATAAACGATCAAAAAAAAAAACAAATTGTGTTTGTTACATAAGTACCCGTATTCTATTAAAAACACAGAATTATATGTGCCCTGCTTTGCAAACGTTTAAAAAAATGTGACATAATATCAAGGAAACTGGATATACTTTGTTATAATACGAGCTTCTTTTTTACCTTCGTGCGTTATGTTGTATATATTCTTTTCGTTTCTTATAGCGTTTTCTTAATCTAAACTGACTTTATTTGAATTGCTAACCTTTAAAAATATGTAATATTAATGCGAAATCAAAATATTAGTTTGGGGAAAAAGAAATCCATTATTTTTTCGGTAGATGGCTGCACTGATAGATTTCTCGTAAAGTATCGATCAAACAATTTCAGATTTATGCGCGTTGGAAAGGTGACATTTCGCAGTAAAAAAAATTCTTTTGCTGTTTTTTGTTTGGTGCATTCGGTTGTGAGTTACAGCGTGTTAAAAATGGAAGTGAACAAAGAGAAAATTCGGTACATTTTACAGTTTTTCTTTGACAAAGTCGAAAATGCAAGCCAGGCGGCTAAAATTGTGAATGGTGTTTATGGTCCCGATACTGTAACAGCCAATTATGTGCGATTTTGGTTTCGTAGATTCCGTTCAGGAATTTTTGATGTTAAAGATGCAACTCGCACAGGTAGGCCGGTCGTCGAAAATGTCGATAAAATCGGAGAAATGATCGAAGTTGACCGGCATGTTAGCAGTCGTAACATCGCCCAGGAGCTAAAAATTGACCATAAAACAGTTTTAAACCATTTACACGAAGCTGGATTCAAAAAGAAGCTCGATATTTGGGTGCCACACCAATTAACAGAAAAAAACATGATGGATCGAATTTCCATCTGCGAAGCCTTGGCCAAACGGAATGAGATAGACCCATTTCTTAAACGGATGGTGACTGGACATGGTAATGGATCACATACGATAACCCTGTACGAAAACGATCGTGGTCAAAGAGCGGTGAGGAACCTCAAACGGCCAGGAAGGTTTTGCTATGCATTTGGTGGGACTGGAAGGGGATTATTTATTATGAGTTGCTTCCATATGGCCAAACGCTAAATTCTGATCTCTACTGTCAACAACTGGACCGTTTGAAGATAGCGATTGACCAGAAACGGCCAGAATTGGCCAACAGGAGAGGTGTCGTGCTCCACCAGGACAACGCTAGGCCACACACATCTACAGTGACTCGCCAGAAACTTCGGGAGCTTGGTTGGGAAGTTTTAATGCATCCGCCATACAGTCCGGGCTTGGTACCAAGCGATTATCATCTTTTTCTTGCATTGCAAAATTTCTTTAATGATAAAAAATTGGAATCTAGGGAGGATTGTCAAAATCGACTACTAGAGTTTTTTGCAAATAGAGACCAGGACTTATATGAGAAAGGCATTTTGGAGTTACCTTTAAAATCGCAACAAATCATACAACAAAACGGTGCATATTTGACCCAAATCGGACAATCCGAAGCATGTTAAATAAAGTCCTGAAGTTCATATAAACATAATGGATTTCTTTTTCCCCAAACTAATATATGTGATATTAAAACAAAAATGTTTTAGACATTAATTCTAAAGGTATTAGGGTCGAACCCCGAGAATACTATTGAATACCATTGAATGGCAGTGTAGGCAACTATACAAAACATCTTATTAAAGAGTGTCCCATCGTGGAGTCTTGGATTCATTGGAGAATTTCTATAAGAGCAAATCATTTGGAAAATCATTGAAGTCAGATCGCAGAGTGAGCTTAGTATGTCGTAAGCAAAACTATTCGTAAGGAGAACATAAAAATCCATAAAATGAGTCAGCAAGAAAATTTGCAGTTATATTGTGTCAGAAGTTCTGAAACTTATTCCCGCTTAAAATTATTTCTTGATAATTCTCTTAAACAAGTTTCTGTGAATATATATATTATAAAGTCATTCTTTTAAAATATATCAAGCAAAACATAAACATAAAGAAAAATAGATTTAATCTTTATACAGCGGTGGTTAAAACTTAGCAAACAAACACAGACAAATATGAATGCTTTTGATTGTTTTGTTGGCATTAAATGTTGAACCTGCAGAAGCTTCTATATATGAATTATGGTCTGATTTGACTGGAAAATATGGTAAAGGCATCTATGTCCGCTCAAGGGAAACTTAAAAAATGCTAACGTAAAAAACATAATTGTTAAATTTCAAATTGTATAATTGTATAATTGAAAGTTCTAATTTTCATGAGTAAAAGCATAAGCGAATCGTCATCTTGGAAACAAAATCAACTATTTCTCTAGTTAATTAAATTCCTTGAATTGAAGCATATTTGCTGAGTACTCTATATATCATAGCGTGAACCGCTTCGCAATCAACTAAGATGCGAATTGAAGTTTTAGTTCTATATTGTTATGATCAAAGCCCCTTAGTAGTAGAATTCATTTTTGATTCTGGCTAGTATGTTAGTGTGAAGTCTGGAAAGGCAAAATTTTCGTCTAACGCAAGGATTGCCGAACCATTATTATGACATAAGTATAAATTACGTAATGAATCACACCTAATCTAGAAGTGCTCCCCATTCGGATTACTGTCTTTAAGCGACAGAAAGGATTTTGCTTAAAAAGTCGTCTTTGCTTTAATTGCTTAGGTCATAACCATATGATAGCAAAATGTCAAAGCAAAGGAAAATGTGCTATAAGTAATCTCATCACACATTGTTACAAAGTTCATCAAATGAAAGTAAAAAATCTCATTCGGAAACTTCGTAAGACATTTCTACAAGTTCAAACATCTAACAGCTTTAAACTAATTTTATGCCAGGTAATCAATCTTCTATCTGCGGAAACAGTGGAAATAACTCGGAATTCGTACAAGTTATAACATGAAAGGATAAAATACTGTTACGGAAATCCCAAATTTAGTTGATTCCAGCTAAGGCATTTTCTAAAATAATAAATTCCTTAAAGAGAAAAGAATTCAAATGTACATTTGCGAGGTGTCATGCAGCTGCAGGCCGATGAAAACGGTTACCAACAAAAGCATGTTAAC